GAGCAAAAGTGTGATTCAACTTCGAAAATATCTTCAGATTAACATTTTAAAGGATGCCTTCCAACCCTCCGCTAGAAACAATGTTAAAGTTTTTGTAATTATAGAGACCCTTGCAAAGGAAACGACGAAAATAGCGAACAAACACCCGTCTGGTCACTCGGGCGAGGTAACCCGCGTCGCTTTTAGAAACTGGCAGGTCTAGCGTTAATAGAAAATCGTTCAACGACCCGAGTGAATAAAATCACAGTCCAATTAGCGAGTCGAAGCGGATCGGAGATCGTTCTATCCGGCGGAAAATCGCCTCGGTTCGCAGAATCCTTAAAGTTCGATCGCGTCGAGTGAAAGCGAAAGGCCGTCGGCGATAAATAAAGTAATAAAAAATCTCCGGGATTAGCACAGGGTCCCAGGCAGCTTCGGTAGCTTCGGTTCACGGAAAAAAAACTTTCATCATCGCCGTAGTCGTCGTTGTTGCCGTCGCCGAAACGAGAGACGTATTTGGTTACGGTGCTTGGAGATCGGCGCAGCGAGACGTGTTCGAGAGCCGGATAGGTGAGAAAATCGGTGACACACGAGCCAGTAAACCAGCCTCCGCTCTTCGTGGCTACTTCCGGTGGTCCCGGTGATTCATTGGCCGCGAAAGATGCGTCGAGGAGCGGGCGCGCGTGCGGAATCGAGCTCTCTCGAGCGTGTTCGAGCGTTCAGTGTCGGTCGCGCGAGTCGAGCAACCGGTCGCGCCACGCTTCTGCTCGCGAACAGAATCGCGGGGAACAGTGCCCGAGATCTATACACGATCGCCGGGAAGATCGATATGTTCGAGAAGTACGTGGACGTCTTCGCCGACGAGGGCTACGACTCCGATTCGACGCTCGTAGGTACACGCGCGAATCTCCGAGCGGTCATGCGACCGTAAATTTGTGAAATGAATTCGGATTTTGTGCGAAATGCGTGCAACGTCGACGAAGGATCTTTCGCGCGACCGTTTCCGAAATAGAGATCGTGATCTCGAACGTGTATTGAGAGTACGCGTGAAATTATCGTACAGGTAGCCCTCCTACAACGCGGCATCCTATAACACGATTTCGCTCTAACACGATAGGATAAATTGCGGGAACCCTCGTATAGCACTGCAACCTATAACAATGTTTCGCTCTAACGCGATAAGAAAATTCCGAAAACCTTTGTACGACACTGTACTTCTACAGCACTGGATAGCATGATTTTTGTTTAACGTATTTAAAAACTAAGTTACCTTCAAATAACGACGGGAAGCAATAATGAACTATAGCGCCTTTACATGAAAATATAATTATTATAATTAAGGGTGTATAAATATATACCCTTTCGCTGGAAGAAGCTGAAAATTCACAAGGGAGCTGCAAAATTGTCTATCTTCGTACCGTGAAATCTACAATGACCTTGTTAGAATCAGCAAACAAAGCAAAATTACAGATTTTTCAAAGAGGGTAGAAGGTGCAAAAAAATCTGAATGAAGAAGAAGATTCAGAAAGTGAAAGTGATATCGTTCAACCGAGAAAACGTTCTCGTTAGATTGTACCGAGCAGTGACGAGGAAGA